GCATGCCCGAGGCCATGGAGGTGATCTCAACGAGGGAGACTGAGGCCAAGAACTCGTGTACTGCTTGGGGGTACACGTATGTAGGTGGGGGTTGTAGCAGGAAGCCCCACCCAATGCTGTCAATGTGGGCTCTTACGTCCTCTTCCCATCCAAACTCGGCCAAGATGGCAAAGTCTAGTGTCAGCAGGGAGTGCCACTGATAGTTTCGGAGGTTGTCCAGGCGGGCCTGGTGTTGTGGTTGAAGTTGAGAAGGGTCTGGGGGTGGCGGTGGTGCCGAGCTGCTAGCCCCAGCAGTGGCCCTTCGCTTCCTGGAGGCACTTCTTCCGAACATCTTGAGCAGGGAAGGCTTGGGAGAGCAAAATATGAGTGTTGGAGGCTTTGGAGGCTTGGAGAGTTGTGAGGAAACCCCCCAAGCGCGCCCCCTTTATATAGGATTTTTTCTAGGTCGAGACCGCCGTCTGGAAAGTCGAGACGGCGGTCTCGTTTGGTCAACAAATCGAGACGGCGATCTCGATAACCCAGACGGCGGTCTCGACTTTGCCTAAGTCGAGACGGCGGTCTAATTTCTCGAGACGGCGGTCTCGTTTGGTCAACGAAACGAGACGGCGGTCTGGGAAACCCAGACGGCGGTCTCAAATTTCGGGTGATTTTTTTTTTTTTTTTTTTCATAAGGAATAGGACCTGGTTTAAAAACATTTTATGCATGCAAATGCTTTAATGTTTGATGTCCTATAATGCTTACTTTGTTTAATATTTCAGAAGGACTTAACCAACGTGTCTTTGTAGCGCCGAGTGCCTCCTGATCTGTGCTTTTGTACATGCTGTACCATACCGGACTTTTTGTGACCGAAGAGTAGTTTCTTTCTTTCTCTTTTCTTTTTTCTTCTTCTTCTTTTTTTATGTAGAGCACTCTTTGTCATGCAGTGTCCCTTTTTCCTTGCTTTTAGGGATTTCAATCCTCTTGTTGACTATACGCCTCCATATTCCCAAATTAATTATTAGAATATTTTCGTGAGGGTCAAGAGAAAAGAAGCAAAGGGGGTAAAAATCAATGGTTTGTGTTTTAGAGGGTTGATTTTTATTAACAAAGAATTTGTAAGAATGGTTGGCTAAGGGTTAGGCCTGAGTGTTTAAGCTTTTGTCTAAGCCAACATTCTCCTTTTTTCCCTTTTTTGTATTTGCGCTGCTTTTGGTTTTATTTCCATCGCTTTTTAAATAGCTAGCTGATTTCCCTAGATCGCCCTTTGCGGGTTTTCGAACTAGGATACTGTGTGTTGGCCCTAACTTTGGTCTAGGTTTTCTCTCTTGTAAAATTTTGGAGGAATC